CACCTCACTTAAAAACTACTTGCTTACAAAATCAGACATAAAAATACAAAAGTGTTACAGCGCACTCTTATTGAAAAATTGCTTACTTTCTCATTTTTACCACATATAATTATAAAATATAATAAATATTGTACTTACATTTCAGTGTATAGTATATAGAGTAGTATAAACAAGTCATTATCTGTGTGACATTTTAGTTTGTACTGGCTTTACTAGTGCTTTTTATATAGCCTCTTGTAAAACTAGGCAAATATCTCGATGAGTTGATGTACCCCCCAGAAGACCTCTGTGTACTCCCAGGGGTATGTGTACTCCAGGTTGAGAACCACTACCCTAAATAAACAAAGATATGGGACAGAATGTTCAAAACAGCATGATGCATTTTGATATTTGTACATAGGCAACAGAGCACAAAGCAAAATTTAGTCGTTAAGAGCTCACACCTGCAATGCAATGAGCATTCTACTTGATTTGGCAAAAATACTTAAGCACATGTCTAATTTTAAATCCCATGGGACTACTCAGGTGCTTAAATTTAAGAGCATGCTTAAGTAACTTGCTGAAGGAGACTTATTTCACCAATTCTGATCTCACTCATTCTAGTTCAAATCAGGAATAACCCAATTAAGTCAATGGAGTTACAAATGATGTAAAACCAGTATGAGATCAAAGGCTCTATATCTCTATAATAAAAGATCAAAATACAGAATTTTGTACTGTAATAAAACTTTGCTGTCAAGTTCAGCTGATACTGTTATTTCTATCAGGAGCCTTCTGTGTGAATGTGGGACTTTCTGACCCAGCAATGTTTGGGAATTTGTAAATATGCAATTAGACCATAATTCCACATTTCAAGTAAGGGTTTTTATGTTGTTTGCTAAAACACAATTATGGTAAACTAAATCTGAACAATACTACCATTTATTATGCAGGGAAGTAGATATATAACAGAACAAGAGGTATATTGTAAACTTTTCCAAATGCTGCATATACAAATAATGTTAACTAGATCTGAAGTAATAATATTCACCACCATGAAAAACAAAATTCCATAAAAGAAATAGAAAATATTTTTCCACATTTGCCATTTTTATTTTAACATCTAATGTCAAAATGTACACAAATGTTTTTTTTTCCAGTAAGAATGTTACATTTAAACATATTGATTCTGTAAATTACTATGCCTTTGACAAAGATTCCAAGACATTGGAGGAAACATTTTTAGTGTTTCTATCTTTGAAGTAAAAGCCAGACATGCGAAATTTAACTTTCAGTATATTTTCTATTTTTGTCTGTTTCATTTATTTTCATTCTTTCATTAATAACATTGTTTTCCCCAATTAAAGGATTCTCCCTTGCCATCTACAATTCCCTTTGTGGCATTCCTTATCTTTAAAATGTTTTTGATCCTTTTTGACCTCTTCACCCTGCAATTTGATTTGCTTATGCATTTAAATCTTTATTTACCTCCTTCTGTTTTGTGTTTTATATTTCTGAACTATTTAATAAAGAAAATAAGTACAATTTTGCACCTTCTGTTACTATAAATTCAAGTGCAAAAATATGTTATCTGGAGACTAGAGAAGCTAAAAATAGAGTACTGTCCATGCTGACGGAAGAAAATGAGAAAGATGGTCTTCAATAAAACCTTGAAAAAATTTACAGCTTTTTAAAATGCAAAGGGATCTTTTAGGAGTATGCATATAAACATCTGAAGTTTGGATGCAGCTGCCCAAAACCATCCCTTTATTCTCTGTTACATGCAGACATTTTTATCAGTGGACAACAATGCAACCTACTGGTGAATGTTGAGGGTAAGCACAAGGATCACAAGAGAAGCCTTTCCAGAATTGATCGCTCTGGTCCTAGATAGCAATGCCTTCTTCATCCTCCAGTGAATTTAATGAGGTTGTGCTGAGAATCATAAAATTTTAAAAGCCCATACTGAATGTAAACATATATAAATAAAGTAATGTTATTATTATAATACAGCCAATCTAAATCCCTCCTACAAGGTTTTGTGGGGGTGGGGGGGGTTGGACATGGTATTCTATACTTCATGCCTTAAGCTGTTTTGTAGTGTGGCTGTATGTTATTGCTGTCTATCACCCTAAGGGTACATCTACACTGCAGCCCTAGCTGTGATTTGCAGCTAGATGTACTTTTGCTAGCTGTAATCTGCTAGCTTGCTAAAAATAGACCTGAGTTTGGGCTTCAGCAAGGGCTGCAGAAGTCTGCTTGCTTGATCCCCCCTGGTATTTGCTCACTTGTGCAACCAAAGCTGAAGCCCACACCTGCCCATCTTCACCTCTATTTTTAGCAAGCTGGCTAAATTACAGCTAGTATGGGTATATCTACATGACCTGCAAATCATATCTGCTGCTGGAGTGTAGCTGTAACCTAAAAGTGGTTGCACTTGAGTAGTACATGAAGTAACACCTGTGAGCCAGATTCTGCCAGAGTGGTGTAAAGGGCCTTAAATGTAAATGAGAATCAGGACCTACATGTACAGCTAATTTATATATCAGGGCTCTCTCATGCTATGATTCTAATTAGGTACAGACTCACTTTGACTGTAGAGAGCCTCCTGGAGCTCCACAGTGTACAAGGATAGTGGAATCACTGCTACACTCTCAGGGGTACAGCATATTTCCTCCCACGTACGTACCAGTTCCAATGGCTGATGCAATATGAGGAAAGGGAACCATGGCCTCATTTCCATCTCCTTTGCGGTGACTTGCACCCCCTGGCGGCTGTGCCAGGATGCAAGGTGGGGGGCTTCTCTGCACCCTTTCATCCATGCACCTGCTTTGAACACCCATGGAGCAGTTAGATAGAATGTGGTTCTCCAGTTGCAAAGCATTTTGAAACCCAGCAGGCTGAAAGATGTTATAAAAAGGTATAGAAATAAATGGTCTGATTCGTCACCCTTATTCACACAAAAAGAACAGGAGTACTTGTGGCACCTTAGAGACTAACAAATTTATTAGAGCATAAGTGGGCTGTAGTCCACAAAAGCTTATGCTCTAAAAAATTTGTTAGTCTCTAAGGTGCCACAAGTACTCCTGTTCTTTTTGCGGATACAGACTAACACGGCTGCTACTCTGAAACCTGTTTTATTCACACAAATAGCCCCATTAGGTTACTTTAATTGAACTTCTTATACATACTGCTTGTACCACTCAGTGTGAGTAAAGGTTGCAGAATTGGACCCAAAATTATTAAGAACAGTTATCAGGACAGTACTGTAAACTATATGTTCCAGAAATGCTATCAATACAATAAATTCCGGAGGCTTGAGAAGACTTTGCTTGGAAGGGTGGGAAATGCCCCATAAACCTGCTTCTGTGCATGCCATGTTAGCTGTATTCATGATAATGCTCTCACAGCTCACTGTTTCCGAGCAGGAAGAATTAAAGAATTAAAGGCATAAACACCTTGAGAACAATTTGTTTTACAACTCCTGAAACCTGATAACAGTCTCCTCCCACATCAGAGTCCATTTGCCTTTCTGTTCTAAGTCCAATTCTTGTTGTTTGCTTCTTGTGATCTCACCACAGCAACAAGGTGGCATGAAAAACAAGGAGACAATACGGGATGGGGAAGCCCAACATTTAAAGAGAGAGAGATGGGGGGAAATTAACAAGTTTTTCTTAATTAAAACAAGCTGTTAAGCTTGAAAACAAACTCTAATTCGGAACATCATTTTTAGAAAGTCATTTTTAGGAAGAGAGGCTTGGAATGAGACTGAGTCTGCAGTCTAGACTACTATAGAAGGGTCTGAGCAAGTTTCAGGGACATGAAAATCACTCTTGAGACCAATGAGCCCCACCAAAATTCATAGTTTTAAATGTCCAAGGCTATGGGATTTATGTCACTTCTCTTGTGAGGGAGTTTACACTGCTCTATCAGGAAGATTTTCCTGGTACCACCCTAATCTGAATTTCATCTCACAACTTCCAATTGCTTTTTATGATTCTAATATTCTTCTCCATCCTTGATGTTTACACACTGTAAATATTTGTAGACTGTTCCAAACCTTCTTTGCTCAAGTTAGCCCTCCAATAACCTCATTGTGGAGAGTGAGGCGTAGCTATTTAAAGAAGAAATGTGCCTAAAGTGGATGCCAGTGTCTTAATCCCATCCACTCTGCAGAAAGCTTCTGCAATAAACCCCCAACCCTCTCACCCCTTTCATCTCCTTTCTGTTTTGAAAAAGCTCCCTTTATTGCTGCCACTCCTGAGCCCTTTTCCTTAGCTATGGATGGAGGATGGTATTATGTACCACTGCAGTCTTTGCACAGCCCTAAACTTAACTCAGGTCTTAGGGACATGGGGGGGGGGGCGGGGCCTGTTGGTAAGGCACGGGACTGGGACTCAGGAGATCTGGGTTTAATGCCAGGCCTGGGTGACTATGGGGCAAGCAACTCACTCTCTTTGTGCCTCAATACCACAGGTGGGGGAGGGCGGTATAACCCTTCCCTACCTCCTAAGTGCTGTGAGGATAAGTCCATTAACCTTCCTGAGGTGCTCAAATACTGCAGCGACGGGGCACATAGCCACACCCAGCCAGAAGGCCCATGGCACCACCTCTGAGTGGCCTTGACGTGTTTATTTGGGCATAAGCTTTCGTGGGTAAAAACCTCACTTCCCACGAAAGCTTATGCCCAAATAAATCTGTTAGTCTTTAAGGTGCCACCAGACTCCTTGTTGTTTTTGTAGCTACAGACTAACACGGCTACCCCCTGATACGTGACGTGTTGTGTGCCCCGAGGGGAGCTCGCCTGGCAGAGCTGTTCGTAGCCCTTCGCTGTGGTGGTGCCATGTCGTGCCCTGGGGCGCCTTTGCCTTGTCACACGACACCCTGTCACCGCGCCATAGAGCAGCTCGAAGCTCCCCGGGGCCGAGCATGAGGGGATGGGCGGCTGCTCAGGTAAGAGAGTGGAGCCGCCTGCCCTACCCACCCCCGCTCCCGGCAGGCCTCGCCCCGCCTGGCCAGCGGGCCCTGCCGCGTCAGACGGCCCCACCTCGCAGGCTCCGCCCCGGGAGCGCCGCCGGGCTGGGCTGGCTGGTTCCACAAGTTTGACAGTTTGGGCGAAGGTGGCAGCGGAGCCGTCTCTGCCGGGACTTTTCTGGGGCGGCGGCCGGGCGGAGAGCGGGGCTCCGAGTGAGGGGCAGCGGAGCAGCTCCCCGAGGAGAAAGTTTTTTCCCGCCGGCCCCCTCGGCCTCTCTGCCGGATTCTCCGGAGCCGCCGCTGCCGCCGCCGTCCCGTCTCTCCTGCCTGAGGCGCTGCCGCCGTGTCCGGGGCCACGATGTCTCGGGATCCCGAAGAGGTGAACAAGCTGACAGAGAGCACCTACAAGGTGAGTAGGGCCGGGCCGCGGCGAAAGGGGGCGCTCAGGGAGTCAGCGACATAACCCAGTCCAAGGGGCAATCCCCTCCTCGGGCAGCTGGGGCACCCCTGGGTGGGCACACACGTACCCCTCCTCCCTCGGTGGAGAGGGCAGCTGGGGCACCCCTGATGGGCACACAGGTACCCCTCCTCCCTCGGGGGAGAAGGCAGCTGGGGCACCCCTGAGTGGGCACACACGCACCCCTCCTCCCTCGGGGGAGAAGGCAGCTGGGGCACCCCTGAGTGGGCACACAGGTACCCCTCCTCCCTCGGGGGAGAGGGCAGCTGGCACAGTAAAGGTCACTCTTCAGAAACACACGTCAATATAAAGCTGACTGGTTCTCAATCAGGGGTACACTTACCCCTAGGGTACTGTAGAAGTCTTCCAGGGGATACATCCACTCAATCTAGATATTTGCCTAGCTTTACAACAGACTACATAAAAAGCACTAGTAGAGTCAGTACAAACTAAAATTGTATACAGACAATGATGGGTTTATACTGCACTATATACTATACACTGAATTGCGAGTACAATATTTATATTCCAATCAATTTATTTTATAATTCTATAGTAAAAATGACAAAGTAAGCGATTTTTCAAGTGAAGTGAAACTTAGAGGTACACTATACACAAGACAAGTCAGACTCCTGAAAGGGGTACAGTAGTCTGGAAAGGTTGAGAGCCACTGATGTATAGCATACTTGCATTATTCTTCCTTTCTAAACAATATAGGAGAACTCAGCGTACCCAGGATAATGATAATATAGTCCTCTATATACTACTCCTAAACTGTCAGGGTCTTTTACCTTGATCAGGCTGCTACTAAGCAAGTTTTCTCCAGGATATGTTTACACATGCCCCACTACAGAAGAATGTGTGTGTGTGTATGGGGGGGGAGGAGGGTTAAATAAAACAAAAAAATTCAAAAAACTTTTATGGTATCATTAAGGATATTAGTTTAACTGCTTGTAGTTTCACATGGAAAACAGTAGAGCATTAATTAAAATATTTTGTGCCATGAGTGTTCACTTTTTTCAACTAAGCTTATGACTCTTGCATTGTTTTGGGTTTTGCTTTTGTTTTTTTGTGTGATAAATCCATGAAAAGTTAATGGTTGTGGGATATACATACCCCAATATGACAACTCTTAACCCAATTTATGGCAAGTCTGTTTATATGTATGCTTATGCACATAACACTCTATTGTAATATAATCCACAATGCGTCAAAGCTCTTTTGCCCTAAAGAGTTCAAGATTTATTTTTTCTTTTGCAGAATCAATAACTTTAAATGACCAGTAATTCATATAGCCCATTTTGATAATAGGGTATTTTACTGCTGGTGTTTTATGAACAGTGATTCTCACTCCGGGCTGGAGCCTAAAAATGTTTAAGCACTTGAGTAAAGTTATTGGCATGGGCCCCAGTCTGGCAATCGGATTCACATGGGTCCACTCATGCGGTGATCCTGAGCCCCAGCCAGGCTACAAATCAGCAGAGGAGTCCACCTTTGTGGATCTGATTTCATAAATGGGGACATACTTAACTGTACGTCTGGATGCTGATTAGTTATGTGTAAGTTCATGTATGGGGTGTGAAATTTTTCTTTAAAAAGTTTTTTAAATTTTAACTTACATCATAAGCTAAAGCTTGTAATAAATCAACATCTATAGGATACGAAATCCATTTTGTGAAAATATGTACACACAACCACAAATGAGCCTCATGTAGAAGTATATGAACTATGAGTGACAGTCCAATTCTAATAATTAAAAAAAAAATCACACACACCTGTGTTTTGCTAGTTGCAGAATGTTTTGTTTCTCTACATTACCTGTACATACTTATTTTGAAACTCGGTCTTCTCCAAACTCAACAACTATCTATATTAAAAGTCTTTATACTTACAATTTCTGCATGTGTCTCTATTTAAACACACTGAATTTAATCATACTAAGTCAAATCCTGTAATCCTTACGCATGAAAAACTCTCTTTAAAATCAGAGTTTTGGCTGAGAGATGAGTGCAGTATTTGACCCATAATCTTAGTTTTGCATACTATCTTTTACCAGACAAAGTGCTCAGACTTGCAAAAAACAATTGTGAATCAAGTTACATATGTGCATTTGCAGTTTTGAGCCCAAATGAAGGATTTCTAGTCTTTTTTCATACAAGAGAATACATAATAATAATAAGTAATAATGACATTGTCAAGGTATGTTTCCATAAAACAAAATTTTAAAAATTGACTGTTTATAATCCCTCCAACTGTTTCTGTAACAGAATTTGTTTTCTTACTCTCTCTCCCCAATTTGTTTTGTTACTCTCACTCTATCCTACAACCTTTTATTCTTGCAATTAGTCCAGTTGTGTTGGCATCATGTTGTGTTTTGTTTGATCACTAGGGGCAGGAGTGCTGGAACAATTTGTATAGTGGGGGTGCTGGGACCCATTGTACCAAACTGTAAACCCTGTTTATGATGGAAACCACTTCAAGCCAGGCAGGGGAGGGGGGCTACCGGATCCCCCAAAACCCCTATTCCAGCACCTATGACTAGGGGGCTTAAAAATACCAAATTTGGGCAAAATTACCATTGACTTTATTGGAAGGAAGATCAGGTTCTTTGTGTATAAATAAAAGCTCCCTCCTCTACACTCTATCTTGTCATGTCTTTTACATAAACTCTAATATTTGTGACATCACAGTTACCAATAAAGGCCCTAAATCAGGAAACCCTTTACTCACACAAGTATGCCTATTGCTAATAGGATCATTTTCTTGAGTAAGTTTGCAGGAGGAAGCTCTGAAAGTTAATTGTAATGTTACAAATGCTGGATTGTGACAGGATTACAGGAACTGAGAAATGGTGGGACATAGGACTTGCAGGACCAGTGATAGGCTTTCATCCTTAAAAAAATCATAGCTTGAAGGGGAACTGAAAGATATTGGAAAAGGAAAATTAAAGGTTCTCTGGCTTGTCTGTTTCCCACCTTGCCTCCCTTGTAATGTATTAATAGTACTATCCATGCTATCGGATGCCCTTTAAATACATATTTACTCACTCTGTATGAAGTTTTTACACATATTTACACAAATAATCAGATTAGCTAAAAGATGAGTCGACAAGGTAGACTGTAAATTCATGTTTCTTTGGGGTATCATTTGTGTGTTAATTTAGCAATATAAAAAGAAAAAGTGAACATCCCAAAACTAATCAACATTGTTATTACAGCCACCACCCTAAAGCCACAAGTCAACAAAAGCAAAGAATTTCAGAGTTAAGACTGACACTTAATCTTACCCTCTTATTCTTTAGGTATTACATAGCTTTTGAGTATATGATACAATGGCACATGCAGGATGAAACTTGACGGTGTGGAAGATCATAATTTAAAGGCAGCCACAACCTTCCTCATAGCACACAACCCTAATAATTTACTGGAGTGATGTTGCACCTATGAATCAGGAGGCTCTGCAGTGAGAGTAAATATTTTGTGACCCCAGGTTGACTGCTAGGCCATTTACTTGTTGGAAGGCCACTACAGCCAATGTGACTTCATGCTAGCAGCAGTATAGAAAAAAACTGCCAGTGAATCATCTGATTGCATACTATGCAAAATGATAACCAAGAAAGCATTGAATTAGAAAGCTATAATTCCATTTCTATGTTCTAGTGACTGCACAAGACACTCGTGCTATGCTCTTGTGGCTTATGAGGCTTCCAGAACTCTTGATGGGGTGATAGCTCTTATAGTTCAGTGGTGTTTGTTATTAAGCCTAGATTTTAAACTGTATATAACCTAGCAATCATTCTAAGTGCATATTTAGACAGTTTTTAAAATATCCTGTTTACTCCAGGAAGTGTTAGGTTCTTCTGGTAATGTATGGAATTATTAAATAATACTTTTGTGGTAGACAATAATGGTCTCTTATGTAAATATGTAATTATATATGCATAGTTAAGAATCTTGACAATAGTTATTTTAAATTCCTTTAAAAGAAAAAGGGACCGGTGGCAGGGCCAGCTCCAGGCACCAGCGTAGCAAGCAGGTGCTTGGGGTGGCCAATGGAAAGGGATGTCCCTCAGTCCCTCTCGGAGGGAAGGACCTGCTGCCGAATTGCTGCCGAAGAATGAAGTGGCTACCGCCAAAGTGGGGCCGATCATGGCATTTTTTTCTTTTTCGCTGCTTGGGGCGGCAAAAATGCTGGAGCCGGCCCTGACCAGTGATTAGATTATGGACTGCCTGCCACATTCATTTTAAAAACAAATTAAAATCAATTTAAGAACCTTAAATTTGTTTCATCAAAACAATTGTCTTGTACTACTGAAACCTAAAGTAAATTTATTTTAAAAATTTGTTTAAAAATGTAAAAGACACTACCGGGTTGAGATCTGGAGTGCCAAGAGCTAAATTCCACCTAAGTGTAAAATACGATTCTGTATTGACCACAATAGAGTTGTGCCAACTTAATGCTTCATTTGGACCTAGATTTCATCCTGGGTCACATGTTCATAATCTCTTGAAAGAGAATTTATATTTGAAACATACTGGTGGATGACGCTTTAATGTGTTTCTCCTTTAAATAGTAAATGTTTGGCAAGCTGACTGATAATCAGTCATAAGATCTCACCTGGTTTGAAAACACTTGGATCTTAATTTTTTCCACTTTGTTAATCTTGTTTTACATCTCTGTAATTCTGTTGATTGCCGTGGAATTACACCAGTATAAAATGGGTTTAGGACTTGACTCTGCCTCTGCACCCATTGACATCAGTGGTAAAGCTCCCATTGCCTTCAATGGAACAGGATGTGACTCTTAATGAGGAGGGGGAGAATGAGGCCCTAATTTTATTTGTTACAGAGACGTAGTATGATCATGCAAAAAAAAAAGTTTTAAGCACAGTACAATACGATTTGTTCTATGTATGTTTATATCTGACTCCTATTTGAGTCAATTAAAGAAAT